CTTCAATTTTTGTCTTCTAATTTTTTTCTACTTTCTTTTGAATCATCCAACACAAATTTGTCCACAAATCAAAGAAAGATATCTTTTCTTTTTCTTTTTTCTTTTTTACTTTTACCTTCGAATATGATCTAATTTATTTCTTTTTTAATTTTGTCTTCTAATATTTTTTCTAAGATTATTTTCTATCTTCAATAATGTGTGATGATGGCATCATCGAGTATTTCATTTACAATTTGATGTCATGAAATTTCTTCCATTTTTTTTTTTTTTTAACGTTGAAACATTAAACTTTGTAGAAGAAGAAGTATAGTACGTATATCAAGAGCAATAAAGATAAGAAGTGCATATATAATAATAATAATAATAATAATAATAATAATAGTAATAATACTTTCCAAGAAGTTATAGCTTTTTTAGTTTTATTTTACTCAGTACTTTTTTACTTCACGTTTTACGAATGATAATAAAAAAAAAAAAATATATATATATATAAAAAGAAAACAATATAATGGATTAAAAATAATGGATTTTTCTTGCTTTTTTCTTTTTTTTTTACATTCTTCACTTATCGTGAAATTATTTATAAAAATATATATATATTTATATGATGTAATAATAAATGTTAGTTGTACGAAAAAAGTGATCGAAATTCGTGATCATTGATGTTAATACTAATTGATAAAATATTATTTAACAGGACAAGTGGTGGTGTTTGATCGTGTTTTTTTAATTAAATAAATTATTTTCACATCAATCCTTTCAGAATTTCATTTCTCACATTAGCAAAGAGTTGTTGGCTTATTAATAATAGTTTACAAGATCGTTAATAAATTTAATCGGGTATTTATAACCAGACGTTTAATGGGTTAAGAAAATTAAACAAATAAAGAAAATCGACTGACATATATTTACGATATGACATAACAATATTTAATTTAATATTTCATAATTTCGTAATATCTTTGATTTTTTTTTTTTTTTTTCGAAACGAACATACAAATTATTTTCGTCACATTAATTTCGGATCACCTAATCAAAAACTAATAATTGTTCTTTATACAAGTGTTTAACATATACTAATCATTATAAATCTAATCTAAGATTTACAGATCGTTTTTTTTTTTCTATTCGTCATGCTAGAAAATTTACGTACTGCCTGTCTGTCATCCTTCTTTATCTTTCATTGCTTTTTTTTTTTTTTTTTTTTTTAATTTAACGTTCGTTTCTGTAGATTTCATATTTTTTCTTCTGTTTTTTTTTATTTATTCATCAATGTAGATTTAATTTATTTTATCTACTATCAGTCTGACGACGTGTCAGTAAATATTCATCATTTTATTTATTGCTTTTTAATTCATTCAGTAATTAGAAGAAGAAAAAGAAAAAAAGTAACGTAAAAAGTAAAAAAAAAAAAAAAATGTTGTAATTTTTATTAATGAGTTGTTCAGTACACACATCGATTAAATCAACTTTTTGCAAAATCTTCCATTTATGTGTCAAAGCACTTGGTATAAGTCTTTTAAAAATCTTTTTTTTTTGTTTTTTTTGTTTCTTTCTTTTTTCATAAAAGCATAGTTTAGAACATTGTTTTGACAAAAAAAAAAAAAATTGAAAAAAAAATACAGAAATAATCAATAATTTTATGTTAATTTTGAATTTTGTTCGTTTCATGGAAAAAAATGATTATATTTTATTCAAATAAATAAATAATTGTAATAGCTTGTAAATGATACAATATCAATTATATTTTTCTTTGCTTTTCAACATTATTATTTTCAATTTTTTTTTTATTATATTTGAGTGTAAAAAATCGTAGAAATAGAAAATAAATAATAGGAGGCCGACTCGAGTTAACTCGAGTGTGCTGTTTAATAAGGGATTAACACCATTAAATGGCAAAATATTTGTGCCCATTGAAAGGAGTTTAACACGGTTACGCCGGCGTGTACCACCGGTGGCCCGCACTAGAATGTCCCATCGGGCGGCGCGTACCACCGGTGGCCCGCACTAGAATGTCCCATCGGGCGGCGCGTACCACCGGTGGTCCACATTGAGTCCAGATTTGAACAAGCAAAAATCACGCGCCGCCAGATGAAGTGCATCTTAGATTCGAATGCCGCCCCCTCAGCGTAGACACTGAAAATCGGCGCCGGCGTTAACGTGTTAAAGAACAATATATTTACAATTATTTCATCGTTTTTTGTTTTTTTTTTTTTCAACTTTTTGTTTTATGGAGTTGTTAATCGATGTGTGTGCACTGAACGGCGACGGTTCATTTGTCATTATCTATTTAACGAAATGTCCTTAACAGTGAACTTGGCTTATGTAGCAAGGTAAAGAGATTTAAATTAGTATGTTCCGCAAGAAACAATGAGCGTGACCTTAATAAATAATGCGTTCATTCTCAACAATGTGGTGATCGGCCTTTCGTACAACACATATATCATTACATACTATTATCTTTTCCTTAACCGACAATATAACTCATTTATACTGAACGTATTTACTGTCAAACATTCATTTTCATTTTATTTTACATGTATATATTTTGTATTTTGGATTTAATTTAATTTATTTCAAATTAATTTATTAACTTTTAAAAGAAGAAATTTACGCGTTGAAAAGTGCATCGTAAAAACAAAAACAGAACATTTATTATCGCGAAATAATAATTGATGAATTTAAAAAAAAAATAAAACACTTCGTACACTTGTTGATTTCGATCGATCGATTTATTTATTTATTTTTTTTTTTTTTTTTTTTTTTTTTTTGAATAGAGGGAATATATTTATTTAAATTTTATTCAATGGAAAGAGGAAAAAAAGTAGAATTCAAAAAGAGGGAAAAATTTAAATTGCGATTGTTTATGCATTTATTATATTTGTAACACGGTGTTGTATGATTTGCACAATTTTTTTTCATAGATATCGTTTAAACATTGTATAACGTTTAGTTGAAAATTATATTTAAAGAAAAACAATAAAATACTAATAATAATAATATTAATAATAATAAAAGTAACTAGGTATATCTAATATCTCGGGGTTTATCTTTAGAAAGTTAAAAGCCGAATCATAAGCGCGACATATGACGTCATTAAATGGTGATTTTACCCACAAAAGCGGGACTTTCAAATGTCGAATGACGATAAGTTCAAGACCTTCGAGAATCTCAAAAGTTAACCTACCTCTTGGAAGAAATTCTGTGACGTATACGAGAGAAAGAGAGAGAAAGAGAGAGATGTACAATGCATTTATGTGAATAATTTCACTGAAAGATATATATAATAAAATTTATATTTATATTTTGTACTATATATATATAAAAAAATTTATTTTTATTAAATTTTAAAAAATTTTAAATGACGTGAATCACATCAGTTGTTGTTGTAAACAGGAATAGAACTTGAAAAGAACTTGAATTCACGTCAGCGGTTGCGAATGTGTTAAATACACACGTATTAAATATTTTTCAATATTTTGTCCTACTAGGAAATTTATTATTTCATTTAATGTATAATGCATTAATTAAAATTATTTATTTCAAATAATTTAATTAGATTAAAATAATTATAATTCATTTTATTATTATTATTTTTTTTTCGTTTTATTACTAGTTATTAGCACATGTATTTTTTCTTTTTTTTTTTTTTTTTTCATTTGAATGATCTCGAACGATCTCGAATGATATATATATGTATCGAATAAATCGAATTTTTACGATAGGAGGAATGGAACAGGTCGACAGGTGTTCTTAAAGTGTCGTTAACGTTTCCAACGTAGTTTAGAAAAACTACGAAAGCATTTGCGATCACTTGGTTGGTACTACAATTAGTTTCGTAATACTGACGCAATACAAATTGCTTGTTTCGATCCATTTCAAATTGAAATTATCCCATTGACAATTTTTTTTCTGCAGGTGTAATGAAAACACTATCTCTCGATCGATTTGATCGTTCAAATTGAATTCAATAACAACAACAAAATAAAACTATTCCATACCACCACCCCATTGACTAATGATGATGATGAGGTTATCCCACAATTTTTCTCCTTCTTTTTAGAATAAATTTTGAAAAAAAAAAAAAAAACGTACATTTTAAATTGATATACTAAATCGTAAAATTATTTTATAAAAAAAAATCTAAATGAAAAAACAATGTGAAACCGTTTTCGAAATTTTCATCGAAAAATCAATTAATTTCATTAAACATAATTTCTAATCGTATAGAAGAATATTATAGGGGGAGGGGTGGGGGGTGATTAAATTAAGGAAAAAAAAAAGTGAAAGATTTAAAAGAAAACAAAAAATATGTGGTGTGTGTGTATGGGTTTGCAGCAACATTTACTGCCACGGCGAGCTGCTGCACAAAATACAAATGGCGTCGATCTATCCTGACTCGAAGACGTTCGTTGACATGAAGATGAAAAATTCACCGGAAAAAACGCTGGCGTTGTTTCGTGAATTTATGAATCGTACGGACGAAATGCCAACCAAAAGTGAAATAGAACAATTTGTAAACGATACTTTCGATCCTCCAGCATCGGAATTCGAGGAATGGAATCCAACCGATTGGAAACCCAATCCGAAGTTCCTTCAAAAGATAAATGATCCTGAATATAGGAAATTTGGTTCGGATTTGAACAACATATGGAAGATGTTAGGTAGAAAGATGAAGGATGACGTTAAATTACACGAGGAACAATATTCGATCATTTACGTACCTAATCCGGTGATCGTACCTGGCGGCAGGTTCCGCGAATTTTATTACTGGGATTCTTATTGGATCATCAAAGGTCTATTGTTATCGGAAATGTATCAAACTGCTAGGGGTATGCTTAGCAATTTTGTAACGATCGTTGATAAAATAGGTTTTATTCCTAATGGTGGTAGAGTGTATTACAAGATGAGATCACATCCGCCACTTCTTATACCGATGGTCGAAGAATATCTACAAGTAACTAACGATTATAATTGGTTAAACGACAATTTCTGGTTACTCGAAAAGGAATTTCATTTTTGGCTAACCAATCGTACGGTAGAAGTTGAAAAAGATGGAATTAAGTATACACTTGCCAGATACCACGAAGAATCATCTGGACCAAGACCGGAATCCTACAGGTGATTGTTCTCATCTCAGTCTTCATCATCATCATCTATAGAAACATTTATACAATTCGTTTTATATTATACAAATAAAATTTGTAAACGTTAGAAAATCATATGACACGACACATTTAAAATCTTCTTAAAATAGGGAGGACGTTCAAACCAGTCAAAGTTTTCGTACTGCCGAAGAAAAGGACAATTATTATGCGGAATTGAAGACAGCTGCTGAATCCGGTTGGGATTTCTCCAGTCGTTGGTTTATACTTGATGGAACCAATAAAGGTAAATACACCAAATGGTAAACCCACCTTTCCCCGAATAGCACGTATTTAATGTCTTCGTCGTCTTCTTACTCCATGTACTCTGCCTTTTCCCCCTTCAGGTTCTTCTTGTTCTCTCATCCCTACTAAAATTAATTCTATTAATCATCCTATCTGCGATTAAAAATCGACAAGTTAATGAAGTTACATTATATGAGAAGTAACATTACCATGATCGGTGATCGGTTTTTAGGTAACTTGACCAACCTGAAGACGAGATATATAATCCCAGTTGATTTAAATGCGATTTTATATCGTAACGCAGTATTGTTAAGTAAATATAGTCGAAGGATGGGCAATGCTACCAAAGAAGCGTATTATTCTACCATTGCTGATGAATGGAAAAAAGCTGTTACCGCTATTTTATGGCACGACGAAGTTGGTGCTTGGTTGGACTATGATATAATGAATGAACTCAAAAGGGATTACTTTTATCCTACCAACATCTTGCCACTTTGGACGTATTGTTATGACTTTACAAAAAGAGAAGAATACGTATCTAAAGTATTGAAGTATCTTGAAAAGAATCAGATAATGTTGAATCAAGGTGGAATACCAACGACTTTGGAACACTCTGGTGAACAATGGGATTATCCTAACGCATGGCCACCTCTTCAATATTTCATTATAATGTCTTTGAACAATACTCAAGATCCATGGGCCCAAAGGTTAGCCTACGAGATAAGCGAAAGATGGGTCCGAAGTAATTACAAAGCTTTCAACGCAACTACTCACATGTTTGAAAAGGTGACAATAATAAAAGCCAACAAAATTATTTTAATCAAAATATTTACATTGGGATACTGTAGTTAGTTGCTGCCATTTTCGTGTATCTTTTTTTACTTTTTTTTTTTTTTATAAGATAGCATTTTTTTTTTCCATTTTCCTCATCAGAACGATGCATCTGTTTCCGGTTGTTACGGTGGTGGCGGAGAATATGAGGTCCAACTTGGTTTTGGCTGGTCCAATGGTCTCGCCATGATACTACTAGACAAATATGGTCAAACATTGNGGTGACAATAATAAAAGCCAACAAAATTATTTTAATCAAAATATTTACATTGGGATACTGTAGTTAGTTGCTGCCATTTTCGTGTATCTTTTTTTTTTTTTTTTTTTTTTTTTTATATATATAAGATAGCATTTTTTTTTTCCATTTTCCTCAACAGTACGATGCAACTGTTTCTGGTGGTTACGGTGGTGGCGGAGAATATGAGGTCCAACTTGGTTTTGGCTGGTCCAATGGTCTCGCCATGATACTACTAGACAAATATGGTCAAACATTGGTAGCTGAAGACAAATTTACTCCCGATAATATTGTATACAATGCTGGCCAACAGCAAGTTGTCGTATCGACTGCTGGTCAAGTGATGACAGGTATCCTTGCCCTCATCATATCACTTGCGGCAGGATTTATAGGGTGAGGTGAGTGAAACGTGTCAATTGAAATAAAGAACAAAATCAACTAATTTCTCTATTTTCTCCTCTACAATATTGACAAATTATTTCTTCAACAAATATTATTAAACAATTTCTCTTGTCTTATTTATGTTTCAGATATCAATGTGGTTATAATCAACTAGGAGAATATTTATGGACAAAGAAAGAAAATAAACAAAAAAAAGCAACTAGACACAAAATATTTATGATTAATATGAAAATGATATATATGATAGGGAAATAATCAGTAGGGTAAATGAAATAGTAGGGGGACGTGTATGTGTGTGTATGTATGTGCACACATATAAATGTTTCACCTCCATCTTGTTTTTTTTAAATATGTAAATGATATGGTGAATTATAGAGTCATACACATACACAACTCACGCACACAACTCACGCACACTCACAAGTGTGCACTCAATAGTATTTTTTTTATACATCCAACATACATACATACTTAATCATTGAAATTTTTAATATGTAGCGTAGAGTATACTCTGTGATTGAGAGGAACTTTTCGCTGGCCGAAAAATAATGTTCCGAGAAAATCATTCCTTCCTGCATGATGATCTATAATAATTCTATACGCTTTAAATCAACAACAACAACAACAACAAAAATAACAACAACAAAGATCGATTTTCTTTTTCCCTTTTTTTCTCTTTTTTTGTTCTTATTCCTCCTTTTTTTCCCCCTTTAGCAAAAAGAATTCAATTACGAATTTTTCAATATTATTTTGGTAGATAATTACGTTTATTTAAGTTAATTGACTTTAGTATTATTAGGAAATATATTTATCAATAATAATGTTTTAAGTATTGAATATAAATTAAACAAGAAAATAAGATGATAAAATGATAGAAATAATTGTAAATGTTTAATAGGTGTAATATTAAAAAAAAACAAAACAAAAGAAAAAGAAAGAGAGAGAGAGATACAAGCATCGAAAAATGAAAGCAAAGATTATCGTAAATTATCCTGTTATTAATAATAATAACAATAATAATAATAATAAAAGATTAAAATAATAAAGATATATTTTTAAATATAAAAATTAGGGAAATATTATAAATATACGATACATTATCAGGGCTTCTCAAAGTATGATGATTCACATCCACCCTATACGGTGTCACTAAACTTTGAGCAAAATATATATATAAAAAAAATATATATTACGAACATTTTGTGTTTAATACACGATAAAATAATATTCCTACAAATATTACCAAAGAATTATTTTCTTTTTTTTTGTTTTTTTTTTCATTTTTTATTTCATTCGTATTATTATTAATCGTAAAAATATATTTGCTCGAGTTAAGATGGGGCTCGATTAAAATTGGGGGAAAATAAGTCTTGCGAATCCCTGATATATATATGTGTATAATATATTATTAATAATAATAATAATGTGATTATATAATATGAAATATAAATTTGGTTGTGTTACGAGAAAATAAAAAGGCAAGAAAGAACGAAAAGGGGATACTTATGGTTAGTACGTAACGGATAGATTTTTATCTAGTCAGAAGAAGAAGAACGTTATAATACACGTAATATGACATAAGATAATTCGTTTCTCACATAAATGGCAAAAATTACAAGTAATTGGTCAACGTGTGTGTGTGTGTGTGTTGTTCTGTCATACGTAAGTTTTAACCAAGGAACGTCAAGAAAAAAAAAACGTCATTTCGTTCTAAAGAGTAGGGGAAATACTCAAGTACGAATTACAAGTGATAAAAAAAGAAGAAGATAAAAAGGAATGCTTGAGAAAGATTATTTTCAACTCGACAACTGTATAACATTTCATTTGTTACGATTATTTTTTTCTCGTTACGTTCAAAATTATATTTTTATTTTTTTATTATTTTCTTTTTTTTTTTGATTTATTTATTATCTTTTATTTTCATTCTACACCATAAGTGTTGTTAATCATTTCAATTGTTCTACCCCTCCCTCTGTCACTCTTTTTCTATTATTATTATTATTTTCGTATGATTAACGTGTGTGCAGAATTATGAAGGAATTTTGACAGTATTAATTGCGCATTATTTTATAATGATTTAAATAAATAAATAAATAAATAATAAAAGTTAATAAATGATAACACGAATAATTTTAACGAATGCATGGTAGTATAAGAAAAATGATATTTTTATTTCATTTGATATTATTTTAACATTAGAAAATGCATTGTTTATTTAACGTGGTTCTTTTTGTTTTTTTTTTTTTGTTTTTTCTTGTATTTAATATTTTTTTCTATTGAAGCATCATGCATCCCAACACTATATCCTAATTTCTCTTATCCCCAATTAAATTGAATAATAAATAAATGAATAAATTTGGAACCATTTCTAGTATCCTTCGAATAATATATTTCCTCCTATCATCTTCTAATTATTTCTTGCTAATTAATAAGAAATAATACTATTGATATCATTTGTAAATAATAAAATTCGAAAATGAATCCATCGTTCGTTTAACACAATGCATTTATATTCAATTTTATTATAATTCAATTTAATATAATATATAAAATTTGGATTTTGATTATCGTTGTCGTTGAAAATGGCTTTTGGAAACTGGGTAAGTTTTGATTTGTTGCTAATTCGATTTAATTAATTAACGAGATGGTTATTCTTTCGGGGCTGATTTTTGTTTAATTTATTTCTTCATTAATATAATAATATTATTAATAATAATAATAATAATAACAATGAAAAGATCAATGTCCTTATTTTCATAACATGTAACTCCATTTTGATACTACGAGAGTCAAACAATTTCCATCACTACCCAAAGTGTTTCTGTTCGTTTAATCAAAGAAGTTTGAACGACGACTTGTATAAACAAAATCGTTCTTGCTTTTATAATCTCTTAATACCCGTCCACACGTACTATATTCGTATTTATGCGCGTTCATTTCTTATTTTTTTTTTTTTTTTTTTTTTTTTTT